GCTGTGTGGTGACAGCCAGACACTGGCAGTGATTCCATGTCTCTCTCTCCAGATGAGAGTGCTCTGCTGTTGCTCCAAGCCCAGATTTGCTCTGTGGTGTTCTCAGCGCTGCTGGATCCCAGTGTGCAGCTGCAGCTGGTTGGGATCAAAGCACTGACTGTCCTGGGCTCCCTGCAAGGTTGGTGCCTTTTTTGCCTTGAGACAGAGGGAGGTGTCACAGTTTTCTGAGAGACACTGTGGCTGCTGGGATGTCCTTGCCTGCTGCCTGTAAGTGCACAGGAGTAACAGCAGCATGTTCTATCCAGGTCATGAGCTCCAGGGACATTTGGTCTCTCTCTTGCCTGTTTGTGCTGGGCACCTTTTATCTCTGGAATTTGGTGTGCTGCTGCATTGCTGCTGGCCTAGATGAGGGGGAGGGATCCTGTCCAGCACACCCTGCATCTTTGCCTTTGGCCAAAGATAGGATTCTTCTATGGCTCTTTTTACAGGCTTCCTGTCTTCCTCTAATCTGGAGCTGGTTGTGGATCACCTAATCCGTCTTGCTCTGCATGAGGAGGATTCCCAAAGCAGGTGAGGGGTGGGCTGGCATCATGGTAGTCATCCATATTCTGGGAGGAGGAACAAAGCCTGGCTTTGCTGCAGAGAGGGGCTGTAGTCTGAGGGAAAACACAGGAACTCTCTGAACAAGAAGACAACATGAAATAAACCAGATTATTCATGGGCTGAAAATAAGAAAGCCTGTGCCTGTCAAATCAGGGATTTTGCTCTGCCTACCTGAGGGTTGAAAAAGGCAAGTTGCTGAGAAATGGGGTTCTGGAGACACCTTCTGGCCAGGTCTGTGCAGCTGGTGTACAGGCAGCCCCAGATTTGCAGTCCTTGCATCACTTTTTCCATTCGCTTTCCCCCTGGCAGTGAAGCAGCAATGGAGGCAGCTGGGTCCCTGGCCCCCACCTTCCCAAAGGTTTTTTCTGGACACATGGTACCCAGGCTTAAAGAGGAGCTGCAGTCAGGTAGGGCTGGGAAAGGAGTGGTGACTGGTTTTGGGGTAAAGCCTTTCCCCCTTGGGCTCCTGCCAGGCAGTGGGGCTGTGTTAGGTGGTGTAGGTCAGTGGCTGTCCTTGGGGGATTCCCAGTGCAGGCACTGTGTGCTGGCACAGGGAAGGCTGTGGTTGGTCTGGTAGCCAGCTGGTGTGTGGCCAGGATCACCCTTGTGGGAAGGAGCTGCCTGGCTGTGGAGCAGGCAGAGTGCCTTGAGCCTGGCATGGGCTGGGTCTGCTGTGCTGCTTCACCCCATCCGCCCTGGCAGGGTCTGGGCCCTGACTGTCCTTGGGTGGGGTGGCCCCAGGTCCCTCTCTGAGGTGTGTTTACTTTTCAGAGCGGGAGGAGAGCTACCACAACCACCACTCCTTGCAGCAGCGCTGCCTGCAGGCCCTGGCAGCTGTGTCCACCCACACCAGCATTGTGAGGGAGACTGTCCCCATCCTGCTACAGCATCTCCAGACGGTGCAGAAAGGTAATGGAGCTCCTGCAGGCAGCTCCACAGAGCATGTCTGGGCAGGAGCTTCCTCTGTTACTGGTGATGCCTGCAGGAGAGCTGGAATGGCAGTGGTACAGGGAATCCACACCTGGGCTGTGAGTCCCACTGGTGGAGTGGGAGTCAGAAAAGCAGCATTGTCCCAGGATCCTGGTGCAGATCAGGGAGCCGGGTGCTGAGGCTGTTTGACTCGGTGGTGACTGTGCCCTGCAGGGACTGAGGCCAGGAACACCCAAGACATGATCTCCGTGTGCCAGAGCCTGCACCGTGTGGCCCTGCAGTGCCAGCAGGATGCTGAGGGCTGCTGGTACTTCCACCAGACGGTGGTGCCGTGCCTGCTGGCCATGGCTGTGCAGGCAGCCATGCCAGGTAAGTGCAAGGGCTGGAGTGGGAGAGGGGAGAACAGGCAACTCCCGGGCTCTCAGCAGTCCCTGATCCTGCAGTCAGTACTGCTGCTGGTGCCTTTTGGCACCCATGGCCCTCAAGAGTGGGCTTCACTGCTCCCTGCCCTTGTCCCAGAGCCCTGCCCCACTCTGGTGTGCATTCAGGGGGCTGTGCCTGCCTCCTCCTTCTAAAAAGCAGGCTCCAGCAAGTTCCATTCCTCCCACTACTTGCAGAGAGCACTCATACGCTGCCAGGCAAGGCACTGCTGGAGGAAGAGGTGCTGGCTGCCATGATCCCAGTCATCAGTGCTGCCACCACTCACCTGCGCCCTGAGTGAGTGAAGCTGGGGCCGGCAGCTGGGTGCTCCCCTTGTGGGGAGGGAGTAGGCTGTATGTCCCCTGCTGCTATCTGTACAGGGTGACCCTGTGCCTCCTGGGAGGTCTCTGGTCTTCCAGAGTGGCACGTAACAATGTCTTTTCCTAGGCTGGCTGCCCAGAGTGTGTCTCATGTGGTGCCCCTCTTTCTGGATGGAGATGTCTCCTTCCTACCCCAGAACAGTTTTCCCTGCTCCTTCCAGCCTTTTGGGGTATGTTTGGGAATTGGGGCTGAGGCACCAGAATGGGCCAGGAACGAGGATGTTTGCATGGGCTGCCAGCAAGGACTGTTATGACATGGACACTGTTCTCCCTTGCAGGATGGGGAGTTCTTGGAGGCACAGAGACGCCTGGTTGCCCTCCTCATGGCCTTCATCTGCTCCTTGCCCCGTGATGTACGTTGATGGGGAGCAGGATGGAGAGGGGCCCTGCCCAAGCACCCTCCAGCCTCTCTCCACACCAAGCTCCACAGACAGACAGAGGGAGCAGCTGCAGCCCTGGGCCATAACATATTATGTGTCTTTTCCAGGTGGCAATCCCTCAGCAGGAATGGCTGCTCCGGGAGCTGCTGGCATTGAGCTGTTCCTGCAACTGTCCCTTCACGGCCACCACAGCTGCCAAGTGCTTTGCAGGGCTGGTGAACAAGCACCCAGCAGGTAAGGGGGCTGGGGCAGATGCCAGGTGTCCCTGCCAACTGCTGACAGGAGGAATGCCTCAGCTTGTCCCTTCCATCCCCAGGGCAGCAGCTGGATGAAATCCTGCAGCTTGCAGTGAACAGGATGGAGCCCAGCCTTGCAGAGGGGCCCCGCCGAACACAGACACTCACCCTGCTGCTCTGGGTAAGGCTTGTCCTGGATGAGTGGGGCAGGGGGACTGGGGGACCTAGCCTGGCACTGACTGTTCTGCCTGCACAGGTGACCAAAGCCCTGGTGCTGCGCTACCACCCCCTAAGCTCTTACCTGACAGACAAGGTAGGTGGTAGTGGGGCTGGGTGACGTCTAAGAAACCTGCCTTGCTCCCCCATGGCTGGCTGGAGACCCCCAGGAGCAGGGCACTCTGTCTCAGGGTTCTCTCTGTCGCAGCTGCTGGGCCTGCTGGGTGACACGGAGCTGGGCCCTGCCACAGCTGATGGCTTCTCCTTGCTCATGGCCGAGTCCCCGGACGTGCTGCACAAGGGCTGCCACGCTGACGTGCGCATCATGTTCCGCCAGCGCTTCTTCACTGATAATGTCCCCAAGCTGGTGCAAGGCTTCCATGGGGCTGGCCCCGGTGAGTGGCCATCCCCAGCCCAGCATCACCACTCCTGACCCTTTAACAAGGGGACCTGAGCCAGCATCTTCTCCTTCTGCAGGCTGCTTGTAACCATCTCTGCTCTCCACAGATGTGAAGGCAAATTACCTGAAGGGCCTGTCCCATGTGCTCAACCACCTCCCCAAACCTGTGCTGGTGACAGAGCTGCCCACGGTAAGAGCCAGCCTGGCTGGCAAGCAGGGTGGGTTGTGACATTGTGGAGTGCATCATCCGGGGTTATTCATGACTCCTATGTTCTCCCTCTCTCTGCAGCTTCTTTCCCTCCTGCTTGAGGCCTTGTCCTGCTCAGATCGTGTAGTACAGCTCTCTACACTGAGCTGCCTCCACCCACTGCTGCTCGAAGCTCCCCAGATCATGAGCCTGCATGTCGACACACTGGTCACCAAGTTCCTCAACCTCACCTCCAGCCCCACCATGGTGTGTGCATCCCCTCCTTCCTCCCTGCTATGCCCCTCTCTCCTGCCCCTTGTGCTGCCCTCATCCCTGTCTGTTCCAGGCTGTCCGCATCGCCGCCCTGCGCTGTGCCCATGCCCTTACCAGGCTGCCCACAACAGTGGTAAGTGCTGCAGCACCCTGCTGCCTGCTCCTGCATGTAGAGGGGAAGGGGGCTCCCAGCCTCCTGGGGGGCAGCCAGCATCCATTTCTCTCATAAAGAGCCCCTTCTGTCCTACAGCTGCTCCCATACAAGGGCCGAGTTATCCGGGCACTGGCCAAGCCTTTGGATGACAAAAAGAGGCTGGTGCGGAAGGAAGCAGTGGCAGCACGTGGAGAATGGTGAGTGTGTGGAAGTAGCTGCTGAGGGGGTGCCAGCATGTAGGGGACGTGGCTGATGGCACCATCTCTGTCCCTGCAGGTTCCTGCTTGGGAGCCCAGGCAGGTGAGCACCCTGTGTCCTCTCCCTGTGCTGACCAACAGTCTGACCAGCGCCTCGCTAAGCCAACAAGTCATCCAACCAAATGCCACGGACCCTCTGGATCCTCGGAGCCCAGGACTGCCCCGAGTACTAGGGCTGGAGTATGCAGGCCAGCAGACAGCACCCCCCACTGCAGACCCTTCCCAGCACCCACAGCAGGGAAGGAGCTATGCTGCTTGTGGCTTTCCCACCCTCTGCTGCAGCCAGGGACAGTGATGGACAGCCCCTGCCACATGTGAGTGGAGAGGACAGGTCTGTGCACACGTATGGTGTGTGACAACCCATGTACCAGAAGAATAAATATATCTGTTTTGATAATGGTCTGAGGGTCTCCATGCAGCTCAAGCTGGGTCCACAGTGCTCTTCTGTGTGTTAAGCAACTTAAGATACTGCTGGTTATAGACCCTTCCTCCTCTTCTAACATTGTTGTCCCTCTTCTCCCATCTCCAGAAGTCCTTGTCCCCCACAAGATAACAAAACCAGACTCCCTTAAAAAAAAAACAATATTTACTAGATGGTCTTAAAAAGACTCCCTGGAGAGCACTTGGGGGTGCCATCCTCTGTGCCCAACCCTTCAGAGAGCTGAGCTGGGCCAATGCTGGCCCATACCTGTGCTAATGAGAGCAGCACCATCCAGCTGAAGCTGGGAGCAGCAGCTCTGCCACCTCGCCCCTGGGCTGCCTGCAGCCACCAAGAGCCAAGAGGGCAGGTGTCCAGGCACCAACACTGTCCATAGAGTTTCCCATGGCTCCGGCTCCAGTCAGCGGTATGTGCCAGCCTTCTGCCAGGCACTTTGGCCAAAGGAAGCTGCAGTGGTGGAGTGGGTCCCCCACACGCTCCCCTGCCTGTGGGAAGGGATGTCCAGAGCACAGGGCCTCAGATTGCCAGGAGTGGTGCGCGTTGCTCTGTCACACAGGGAGGCAAGTCCCAGCTCAGGCCTGTCCCGTGGGGCAGGTGAGGAGAGGGCAGCAGGACACGGGTGAGCCAGTGCCTGTGAGGAAAGTGAGGCCACAGCCACAGGGTGAAGTCTTGGTGCTTCTCAGCTCTGAGGAACCATATCCTGAGCTGCCACAATGGCTGAGCTCCTCAGCTCAGATTCTCTTGGCAAAGGTGTGCTGGGCAAGCCACCTTGTCACCAGACAGGGCCAATGATGACCATGTCTTCCACACCTTACAAAGCCCAGTGCAGTGCAGTGTGGTGGGATCAGTGTTCACTGTCCTCTCTCCCAGCAGCCCAAAGACAGCCCCTGTTGTCCATACAACCCCAAGAGCTGCTGAGCCACCACCTTCTCAGGCAGGGGCTTCCCCAGGATTTTACCTTGGCACAGCCACACCCAGGAACACCTTCCAGTTATCCCAGCTGCCGTAACTGTAGGGGTTCCTGAAGACCTGCAGTACAGGGAGAGGCACATCACGTCTGGCTCTGCCCCAGCCAGCCCCCGTGCCGTGGGCTATGCTCACCTTGCCTTTCTTCTGCAGTCTCTGCCTCTCCTTTCTGTTGATGTGGCGTTCGATGCTCGTTTCCCCACGAGTAATGAGGGCAGCGTGCCACAGCGTGAGGGCACCCAGGGCCAGTGCAACCGAGCTGGGGATGACAAGGGACAGCAGGTGGAACACAGGCCTTCCTTCCCTAGTCCTGCAGCTGGTGGGGGGCTGAGGCTGCCTCCCTGCACCCACAGCCATGTAATTGGGTCAGCTCATCTAATCTCCTGTGACAGACAAAATCTCTCCTTCTCTGTGGCCCAAAGGCTGGCAGGGCAGCAGCATCTGTGCTAGAGGGAACAAGCCCAGCTACAGGCAGGTAGATGGCGAGCAATGTCACAGGCTTCACTGTTTTCCCCAGCCCCTGGGCCCCCTCACCTGCACAGGACCCAGAGGTAGACCACGCTCTTGTGGAAAGCTCTCTGGCGGAAGGAGAAGGTGGGTGGTGGGGTCTGGTAGTATGTCTGAAAAAAGACCAGATGGGGAGGATTACCCAAACTTCTTTACAACTTGAAGCCAGACAAGGATTTCTGCGCCACTCTGTGCTGCAGAGCTTGGACAGCAAGAAAGGATTGCAGCTGGAACTAATGCAACAACCACAGTGAGGGGGAGGCAACCTGGGACAGCCATGAGACACAGACAGACACTCAGAGCTGGCATAGGTGTGAGGAACAGGGGGCTGGAGGTAAGGGGGCAGGGAGCAGCCATGGGCCTGGTCAGGACACTGCAGCTGGGGGTCATGGAGAGATGTGTATGCAGTGCTGCAGATTCACCAGGAGACCATGGCCTGAGCAGCACATGCCAAGAAGCTGTCACCAACCCAAGCCCCTGGAAGCTGGGTGCAGAGAGGCAGACCCCAAGCTGCTGGAGGCATTGTCCATAGCAGAGCTGCCTGACCAGCCCCAGCTCTCTGACATGTGAGATGAACACAGGGGCTGGTTCCGATGTAGGGTGCTCCTTGAGAACAGAGCCCCAAGCAGGACCCAGCCTGCACGGCAGCTCTGCTCCACACTGCCTGGAGAAGCTGGGGGGCAGGGATGTCCCACCTGGTTGGCAGCCACCTGCAGTCTCTCCTTCTCAAGCAGTTTCATTCTCTAGGGGGATGGAAAACAGGGTACCAGTTATGTGTCTCAGAGGAGTGGGACAGGGGCCCTTCCCCTCGCACCCCCCTAGGACCATAGCAGCTGGGGGCCTTGCAGGAGGAGTAAGAGGGAAAGCAAAGTCACTATATGGCTGGGCCTGGCCCAGCCTTGCTCTGCAAGTTCAGCCTGGGGAAGCCAGGCAGTCTTGGCGCATGGCAGGAGAGGCTGCTCACCTCAATGGCTGCGTAGGCATCCCGGAACATCTCCCAGCCGCTGATGCTGCAGTAAATGCAGCCCATGGTCATGAAAAAGCAGAAGGAGAAGAAGTAGCGGTGGTTGTAGTGTCCCACACAGTTGTTTAGCCAGGCTGCCTCTGGGGTTAAAGGTACATAACTGTGACAGACCATGGGTCCAAACCCAACCCAGGGACCAGGGCAGTTCTTCTGCGCCCTGCTCCCAACACCCATTCCTATGCTGGCTGTCTCCTCAACAGAAGGGACTGGGAGAGAAGGGAGAAGCAATGCTGGCTCCCCCCAGGAGTGTGCCACTGGTTAGTACTGCAGAAGGATACGGCAGTGGTGGTCCATCTTCAGCACACACCTGGGAGAGAAGAGACCAGTGCCAGTGTCAGAGCCAGTGCAAGTGGTGTGTTTGGGAGGGGACAGGCACCCCCCAGCCCTGCAGGCTACAAGCGACAGGGCAAGGAGGTGGCAGCGCAGAGGAGAAGGGCCCCTGTCTCACACTGGGGCAGGGGGTGAGGAACAGGGTTCCAAAGGCTGCCCTGGGCAGAGGGAAGGTGCCCTACCTGTTGCAGATGCTGCAGTGATGGGTGCGAGCTGGCTTAGGGGCAATGCATTTTCTGCAGATGGACACGCCAGTGAGGTCGTTCTTGGCCTGTGCACGGGTCAGAAGAGATTTGCACATCTTAAACCCTGCATCTCAAACTCCTGCTCTCCTCTGTGCCACCCCGCTGCCTCCCCACTCTGCACTGCCCAGCCTAGCTTCCCAGATTAGAGGCATCCTGCAACAACATTATCAGGCTGTTCCCAGTGACCATCCATAGCTCACTTGGTGCCTCACCTGTGGTGGGTGCCCAGGTGAAGTGGTGATAGCCATGTAGTAGTGGAAGACAATCATGATGAGGTTCCAGTGTCCATAGGCGAGGTGCCAGCATATCCAGGCAGGTGTGTAGGTCTGCAGGATGAGGGGCAGCAGACAGATGTACACGATGGCCACAATAGAGCTCGTCAGCCCAATCACCAGTGCCACAAACACCTACAGAAAAGGGACCTGGGTCACTGTGTGGGTCTCAGATTCAGTCGAAGAAAGAAACTGAGAGTTTCTGGCCAGGCAAAAAGCCTGGGAAAGAATGTAAATAATCCTTTATCTCTCTTGTTTTTCACACTGTTTATAGTTCTATCACTGTGCATCAAGCACTTTGCACCAATGCTGTAGGTTGTTTTCACTTCAGAACCAATGGATTTGATCCTTGCGAAGCTCTGTATAAAAGAGCAGCGTATTTTGAATAAATCGGAGTTTTACTCTCAGCAGCCTTCTGAGTCAAGTCTATTCATTCCCGTCCTGCCTCGACAGAGATATCACTGGAGTGGGCAGAGCCTGCCTCTTGCTGCCTGGGAAGAGGCACGGGCAGGACAGAGCCAGAGGAAACCAATCTGAACCGCACACTAAGGCTGCAGCTCACTTCCTGCCCGAAGGAGAGGCAGCCCTGAGCCCGCTGCCCCAGCACCACGTGTACCCTGCCCTATGAGGGGAACTCACCACACCAAACCATCGGGTGACGTGGTCCACCAGCCAGTAGACCGGCTCGAAGAGGGAGTCAAGCACCACGTCGCCATTGGTGAAGGAGTTGTAGAGCAGGGAGCGGAGGCAGAGGTGCCCGTAGTGCCACAGCTGCTCCACCTGCCGCACCAGCTTGAACCGCCGCCGCCGCCCCAGCCGCAGGCACTTGAGGAGCAGGCGCATCACCGCGGCGAACATCCGCTGCCGGCTCCTCATCCCCGCCACACCACGCCTGGGGGGACAGGAGCTCGGCGTGGGCAGGGCACCCTGCTGCCTGGCTGTGCCTCGGGAAGGGCTTCCCCTCCCGGCCGTGCTGATGCCGGTAGTGCAGTTCCCTGAACTGACAAGGATGCCGAGCTGGAGAAGCTGAGCCCAGGCTCCTGCAGGCTGCGGGGCCGCTGTCGCCGGGATGTCTCTTTGCACGGAGCAGGGGGCACAGGCCCCTCAGCATCTGGGCTCAGGTGCTCTCTGGTCCCATCTCGTCTTTCCCAGCGGGGAGGGGGCCGGGGGAGCGACACGGAGAGTCTGACTCAGAGGAAACCAGAGAAGGCATGAACATCCAGGATGCTGGGCCATTTCCAGAGATGATTTCAGCCCTTCCCAACATGTTCATGAACAGGGGAATCCACACAAGGAAAATGTGGAGGAGACAGTACAGGATTACCCCTCCTCCCCTAGCCCCTCCTTAAAGTGAAGGATACTACTTCCCTTCACCTCAACTTCTGGACCAAGCTGGTAGAGGCCACCTTCCCAACCTCACAGCCTCACTCCAAGAGTCCCAACATTTCCTCTTTCTCCTTGCCTGAATCATTGAACAGTACCACACACTAGCAAATGAGAGGCCCAGGGACAGCCCCGGGCCAGTGCTCCCCTGCCCGCTGAGCCCCTTGTCCTGCCTGAGAGCTTTGCTGGGAGTGATGAGGAACCTGATCTGGCCCAGCACATGGGAAAACGATCTGCAGGGCTGGGGCCCCCTGGCCTCTGTGCAGGCAATACCCATCAATATTAAGCAGCGAGGCTGCCCCGGGGTCCTGCCAAGGCACGTTCTGAGCTTGGGCCAAGCACTTGCCTTGGTCTGGTGCCAGGCACCGGTGCCAGAGCTCAGGGTGCCTCCAGCAGGGATCGTCCCACTGCGCTGAGGTGCCCACCAACACAGCCCCTGGGGAGCAGCAGGGAGTGTGAGGGCAGAAACTGCACCATCCACATGGGCTGCCCGAAGAAGCCAGGGCTCTCCTCCACCCTGGGCCTGAGGAGTGTGGGGTTGACCCCAAAGTTGGGATCTACTGGACATGAGGACCCCACACCCAGCAGCCCATTCCAGGTCACAGACATGGCTCCTGCCCTGGTATGGCAGAGGTGGGATATGCAAACATCTGCATCACCCTCTTCTCCACATTTCCCCTTTTGTATGCCAAGAGCTTTTCCTTGAAGCTCAGCAGGTGCAAAATAGAGCAACAACTTCCTGCCGTTCAGCCTTTGGATGGCACACGTCCCTGTTTTGTCAGTGTGGTAAAAGACAAATCACAGCAGCCAGAAGCAGCTGTTGAGGTCAACCCTTTCCTCCAAAGACACAGCACTTTCCTGTCCCACAGAGAAACTTCCTCACCTACAGCAGCGGCAGCTGCTGGGCAGGGAACCCACAGGGGAGGCAGGAGCCCGCTCCAGAGCAAGACCCGCTGTCCCCAGGCACCTGGCTGAAGAGAGCAGCGTAACGACAGACACGAGGCTCCAGCAGAGCCACGCAACTTTCTCCTGCCCAGCCGGGCCCTGGGATCCAGCCCTCGCCCTGCTCACGGCGCGGCACCGAGCCCATGGGAACGGGACAGCAACCAGCACAGACAGAAGCACTGGCAACATCACACCGAGGGGTGGGGATCCTCGGATTTGGCCCCACCCCGGGCAAAGACGAGGCCTTCCCCCGCCAGGTCCAGGCCCCCCGGCGCAGCCCTGTGGCACCCTCCGGTGGCTGCACAGCGCCCGCTCCCCCGCTTCAGCAGCATCCAGCCCCACTTCTGTGTCCAGAGCCAGGACATCCCGGTGTTTAGCCCCATCCTCAAAGGCTGCCCACGCCGGCAGCCGCACCGCCTCCAGCCCCGTCACAGCCCGCAGCATCCCCCCGCTGCCCCCAGCCACAGACCGCACCGCCTCCCGGCTCCGGCCGCACAGCACACGCAGCATCCCCATCGCCTCCCGGCCCCCGCGCTCCTCGCCCCGCAGCCCCTCTGTATCGCCGCCCAGCCCCGCGGCAGCCGCAGCCGCGACAAGCCCGCAGCCCCTCGCAAGGCCCCGGCGCCGCCGACCTGGGCCCGCGCCCGCCGCCGCCATGCCCGGGCCCCGCCGGCCCACGGGCAGCGCCCGCGCGCGGCACGCCGGGAGCTCCGTCTGCCGCCGCCGGACTACAGCCCCCAGCATGCCTCAGGTCGGCTAGGCGAGAACCAATAGCCGCGACGCTTACAGCGCAGAATTGACGTCCGGAACCAATAGGATGAGGGCTTGCTGGTGAAGCGTTGTCGGCCGCGGGCATGGCGCCGCCCGCGCGGTACTGCGTCCCCGGTGAGTGCGGCCCGGCGCTGTCCGGGGCTCCCGGCGCTGTCCGGGGCTCCCGGGACTGGGGATGCTACCGCCCGGAAAGGGAGCGCAGTGGGCTAGGAGAGGAGTAGGGACGAGGCAGTGCGGAGGGGCTTGTCCCGGGGATGCGCCGCACTCGGCCGGCTGGGAGCGGGAGCTGTGCCGGAGCGGGCCGGTCCCCGGCAGCCCCTGAGCCGCTGTGTCGCAGGTGAGCGGCTGTGCAGCACGGAGGAGGCCACGGCTGGCAGCGGGACCTACACTCGCCATGGCTTCATCTTCTCCTCGCTGGCTGGCTGCCTGGAGAGGAAGAACGAGGACAACGAGGTGAGCGCGGCCGCGGCACGGCTGCTCCTCCCCGGGGCTGCGTGCTGTGCACCCAGGCTGCACGGCCTCTCTGGAGACTGGGCTGCGGCAGGGAGTTGGACTCCGATGGGGTTCGGCCGGTGGTTCTGTGCACAAGCTGTGCCCTGTGCTGACGCTCGTGTCTTGCCCTGCAGCTGCCCGTGGTGTCGGTGGTGAGAGACAGCAAGTCCCAGCTCCTGCCCAACGTGGGGGCTGTGGTGACATGCAAGGTGGGGCGCTGGAGCACTGCGTTGACAAACTGCATGGGCCTCGACTCTGTCTCATACTGAGCTTTGTTCCTGCACACGGATAGGGTGGAGTGAGGAGTCCCTGGGCTTCTTAGTGCCTTCTGTACAACTCTCACCAGGGCAGGGGCAGCCCAGGGGCTCCCTTGAGTTTCTCACTCACCAAGTGGGTATTGGCATGAGGGGCACTTGCCCTGAGACTGAGGTGGGCTTGAGGGGAGGATTTTCTTTGCTCTCCTTCCATAACTCCTTCCTGGGACAGGGAGTATGCAGGTCAGTGCCTCAAGCAGCTTGTAGAAAGGATGACATGGACCAGGGATTAGTTTCCTTACATTCCTAGTGGAGGGAGAGGGACTGAGATCACTGCAGGTCTCAGCCTTATTCTGGTGCCTCGAATTGCACAAATATAATCATCCTCACCTGGCTTGCTGCCAGGTGTCCCACCATTGCTTGGTCACAGCGGGGAGGAGGAGGCCAAGTGAGACCTGAGCTCCCCATGCAGCCCTGCCTGCTCCCTGCCCTTTCCCTGCCTGGACCACTGATTCCCCTTTTCCTACATGCAGGTCTGCAGTATTAACTCTCGCTTTGCCAAGGTCCACATCCTGTATGTTGGCTCCACGCCGCTGAAATCCACCTTCCGGGGCACCATACGGTAGGGAAAAGGTTAGGATTCCCCACCCTTCAGGGGGAGGAAGGCTGTTGTGGGCAGTGCAGCTGGCTGCCCTGAGCTGGAACTCTGCCCTGAGCACTGGGCTGGTGTCCAGCGCGTCCTGGTGAGCACCCAGGAAGGCTGAGGCAGCTTCTGCCACAGGCGGTTGAGTTGTCTTTGCTCATTGGCACTCAGATCCCTCCATCTCCTTTTTCAGGAGAGAAGATATCCGAGCCACAGAGAAGGATAAGGTCAGTGAGCCACTGCCAGTTGCTGTTGTACACCCATTGCCCTCCAGTTCCTGCTTGTGGGGGCCCTGTCCCCCCACTGACAGCACCCTGGCGCTGTGTGGCATTGCCTGCTCTCTCCTGTGCAGGTAGAAGTGTACAAGAGCTTCCGCCCCAGTGACATCGTCCTGGCCAAAGTTGTATCCTTCCTCCTCAGGGACACTGTGTTGGCTCAAGCTCCCTTGTGGAAGTGTGTCCCTTAACCCCTGTCCAACCAGATCTCCCTGGGGGATGCACAGTCCAACTACCTGCTGAGCACAGCAGAGAACGAGCTGGGTGTGGTGGTGGCACGCAGCGAGGCAGGTAAGGGCAGGACAGGGACAGAGACAGGGACTGGGCTGAAACAGTTCTGCCTCATTCCTGCCTTGGGGGCAGCTGATGCAGCTGCCTCCCTCTCCATATGGAGGAATGCAACTTTGGGAAAGAGCAAGTCTGACATTACGTGCCCAGGGGTGCAGATGGTGCCCATCAGCTGGTGTGAGATGCAGTGCCCACGGACACACACCAAGGAGTTCCGTAAGGTGGCCCGGGTGCAGCCCCAGTTCCTGCAGACGTAACAGCTGAGGGGGGCAGGGGGCTGCAGCACTGTGGCTGTGGAGCCAGAGCAGCCCCTGGGCTCCCACCTCCTTCACAGGTTCAGCCAGGCCTCCACTGGCAGGATGGGTTTGCTACTTGTGGATAATAAATTTTTTTTGAGAGCTTCCTGCTTTGTTCTTTACAGTAAGTGGGGGAGCCAGGGCTATCTATGGCACTCTGGTCTGGCTCCTGCAGCACAGCAGGTGAGGGAACAGCTTCCACAGCAGCAGGGGCAGAAGGAAGCACATTTTCACTGCTGGTGAAGGGGAGTGATGGAGTGACTTTGCTGCAGTGACGCCAACAGCACAGAGCCCCAGGCTGCAGCTGTTGGGCACTCCTCACCAGGTTGGTTTCCCCACACAGGAGTCAAGCCTGGTGCAGAGCCTGTCTCAGCTCACCACTAACCAGTGTGGGCTGTGGCTGAGAATAGCGTGGGGACCTATCTCATCTCCTCAGGCCACACATGCTTGCCCTGCCCTATGGAACAAGGGTGTGGTACACACAGACCAAAAACCAGAGCATGGCAGGGTGTCACCCTCTTGGGCAGAGATTGCAGAGCTGAGCTTTGCTCCTTGAGCCTGGCACAGCTTCTGCACCCTCCTGTCTGTGCCCAGCAGGGATTGCTGCCTTGTGCACGTGCTGGCAGCAGGGAGCCCACATGGCCCAGAGACACAAGGACACTTCCTTATTGCGCATTACTCCTTTATTGAACTGGAACAAGACGGCTGCTATGGTTGGACAGTTACACTGACCCTGTGCAAGCCCAGGCTCACGACACCGGCAGGGGGGAGGCCACAGTGACAGGCCACGTACACATGTGAGGGATGGGACACAACAGTACCTGCTTCACCAGCAGGACGAGGATGGGCAGCAGCTGGGGGAAGCATGTTGCAGACACAGACCTCCAGGCAACAGGCTCCCTCCCTCACCCTTGTCTGAAGGCAGTATAGTTAAAGCAGGGGCTGGCAGAGCTGGGCCCAGAGTCATGAGTACTACCCTGGGGTGCTGCATCACGTGCACCAAAACACAACCCTTCCAGCAGCATCCCAGTCACTGTGCCACGCACCCACGAGGGGAGGGGGTACCCACATTGGTCACTGCTGGCACTGCACTTGCCATACTGCTCCCAGGAGGACTAAATCAAGTGACAAAACTACAGTAAACAGGTGACGAGAGCTGCCAGGGATGCAAAGCAAAGGAAGAGCCTGGCATGGTAAGGGATTGCTTGGCCTGTCCCTCTGCAGACAGGGTCTGAGGGTTGGGATCACAGCATGGACAGGTGTGGGGTCGCTGCCTGGTAGAGACAGGGCTCCCTTTCACACCAGACCTCCATGTCCAGCCCTCACCCCGGAGCCCCCAGGCTATCTGCAGAGGGGAGCCTAGTCTGAGGGAACGGGCCTAACCGAGGGGAGTGCCTCCAGCTTCACAGCTCCGAGTTCCTACAACTGTGGGGGTGTGAACAGAGGGGTGGGGGATGGCAGGGGGCTCTACTACGTGCTGGTCTGCTGCCTGCCCTCACTTCTTGGCCTTGCCCTGAGCAGCAACGGCCTCCATGGCCTTGCGCACGGTCTCCTCATCCCCCAGGAACTGCATGGGCTTGACAGGTTTCAGGTTCTTGTCCAGTTCGTAGACAATGGGGATGCCAGTGGGCAGGTTCAGCTCCATGATGGCCTCTTCTGACATGCCTGCGAACACAGCAGTGCTGTCACTCTCAGACCTTCCCACAGTGCCAGATGGGGAAGGAGGGGTCCCTGGGATGCAGGGGTGACCTACCTTCCAGGTGCTTGACAATCCCACGCAGGCTATTGCCGTGAGCAGCAATAAGGACTCGTTTGCCCTCTTTGATCTGTGGGACGATTTCCTCATTCCAAAAAGGCAGAGCCCGGGCAATGGTGTCCTTCAAGCTCTCGCATGTTGGCAGCTGGTCCTCTGTCAGGTCGGCGTAGCGGCGATCCTGGGAGAACGACCATGCTCACACAGCAGCCCAGTGCCCCCCATTCAGTGTGGGAAGATGGTAGCAAGATTTTGTCTCTCCCCCAGATTCTCTACCTGAGGCCCTACTACACATAAGCAAAGCCAGGCTTGGAAGCAAAGAAGTGTCTTTGCAGTCTGGGGCTGCAATGGGCCACAGTCAGGGCCATGAGCCCACCTGGGAAAAGTCATACATTGCCTATCTGGGCAAAGAAACCAGATCACACATCCATGAATGGCACTAATGATTAACAGAGATACTGTGCCCTCCACTTTGACTCTGCTGTGTGATGCCCAGGGGTTCAACTCCACACGGAAGAAGCAAGATAAACTCAGCCTAAAGTCTACCAGCACCATGCACAACAGTCTCAGATAATGCAACAGAGACACAGAAGACCTTATACAGGAAGCCAGGCTTTAGTGCAAGTTACTTTTAAGAGACTCTTAACAAGGCAATCAAAGAGCAATAGGTCTTACCTTTGCAATAGTGCTGTAGAAGGG